ATGATTATATTCACATCTTAACAAGACAAGTCACATGAAATATCCACTATCCATACCAGTCAAAAGTACTATTCATAAGCACACAAATAGTGGAATTTGAAGCAAAGATTGCCAAAATATTGTAAAGAATGGATATAAACAACCTGGTCATGCTTCTTTGGGGGAAGAGATTGTGATGAATGGGTGAGTGTAAATTGATGTTTCTCCCATATTTTCAATTCCCTACATCTAAGATATATGCAGCATTTAATGGCTCATGAATTGTTTACCTGGTATTATGTCTGTTGTTTATTTTTCTTTGTGTATCCAATAACACAGGAATATCCATATTTACAAATCTCTGTAGTCAAGAATGACCCCTACATGATACATCTTTTGTAATGGATGAAAAAGGGCTTTTCTCATTTTCTCTTTTCAAAATCACTTTGGTATTTCATCAAAGGGAGGAGTCACTGAATACATAGTGAAACCAGTTATGGGAGTGAGTAAAGTCACATGGCTCAAAGAAACATGGTTTCCCATGCAAAGCAATTGAAAATCAAGATGGCTATGAATGGATGATACAGTGTCTGGAATAAAAAGATTAATTTACATAATTCATGGTTTCAAAAATAGGAGTATTCAACTGGCAATTAAATGGAAAAATATTCACAACAACAATAAGTTCAACAAAATGAGTAGTAATTACATATAATAATTCCATTGTGGTGCTCAAATGTAAAGTCCAGTTGGAATAATATATGAGACTATGTGTAATGTTAGGTAGCTACATGCCCAGATGTTATCTATGTCCGTAACATAACTGAGTGAGTCCAGTTTCAATTAAAATCTACAGAAAACTAACATTATAATTCTAAAATTCATTGAGAAGATTCAAAATGCAAAAACTTGTTGGTAAAATAAGACCAGTTGGAGGAAGCAAACTTAGGAAGAATGAGAATTAAACAACTTTTAATGATGAAATCTTTATATTTCTTTGAAATAGAACTTTTTATAAATGAATCAGGATATAATACAAAAATACATTTGTTTCTTTTTCTTTTATTGTTCACAGACTGATAAGTGGTTGATAGCTGATAGGTGATGATTGTGATAGACAAGTAGTAGATACATAAATAGACAGATATGAGATAAAATATCAATTAATAAATAATAGATAAAGAGACAATTCTTTTATGATACATAAGAGATAATGAATAGATACATGGGTAGGTAGATAGATAAACAGATATTTTCTACATAGAACAAGTATCAAAATCTATATCAAATAATGAGTTTAGAAATAGATTAGAAAGCTGTTATTCTCTCTCTGTATATTTGTATATTGATATTATAACCTTTGACATATCAGAAGTAAATTCATTTGCAGATAGAATCTTTATAAAAAACAATCAAGTTAAACTATGTTTGTTATGGTGGGGTATAAATAGGATTAGATTCTTATAAAAGGAAATAAATTGAACACAAAATCACAGAAAAAAATGACGTGCAAGAAATTGGGAGAAGAAGCTCTCTACACTGTGAGAATATTCTGTCACAGTCTCCAAAGAAACCAAGCCTGAACCAACTTGAATTTTTAGCTCAAGACTCCAAATTGTGACTCAAACCATATTTTCATCATTACCCATTCCATGTACTTTGTTGTGACCATCTCTAACAAGATCTAACCCTACTAAAAAGTAGGTAGAACTGTAGAACTGATCCAGACAAATGGAAGCAAATAATTATAAACATGGAGCCATTATCTCACAGAATACCTGAGAAGTATTTTAGAAAGTAGTTGTAAATCTGTGCTGATAGTTTCTGTCAACCCAGCACAAGCAAGAGCTATGCAGAAGAGAGCACCATTGGCTGAGAAAATGCCTCTATAAGGCTGGTCTGAAAGGCCTTTGGGGCCTTTTCTCAACTAGTGATTGGCATTGGAGGGTCTAGTTCACAGTAGGCAGTGCAACCCCTAGCGTTAAGTCCTAGGTATCACCAGAAAACAGACTGAGCAGGTCATGGAGGAAAGGCAGTAATCAACACTCTTCTGTGACTTCTGTATTAGTTTTTGCTTCCTGGTCTCTGCCTTGAGTTTCTGCTGACTTCCCTAAATGAGAGACTACAAGCTGTAAGGAGAAAGAAGCTCTTTATTCCCCAAATTGCTTTTGGTCATGGTCACTATCACAGAAACAGTAAAGTAACTAATAAAGATTTTATTTCTGTGCCCTTTGCACATATTTTTTTCAAGGGTAAAACAGTAATTTCCTTACCTGAACATGTAGAATAATATCAAATATAAACAAATGTATTTTAGAGAATTCAAGCTGTCTAGCACATATTAAAAATAAACTTACTAGTTTATGCCACAGAAATAGTTAAGGAAATATGTGTATGGCCTCATACACTGATTTTATTACTCTGTAAGAAAAAGAAGAGTGAGAACATGCTAAACATGCAGTGATAAGATTGACTGAACTGCACACAGAACAGAATGTGTCATAGCACCTGGCAGCAGGTAGGACCTCTGAGAGACAAGCAGCCAATGGTAGAGCATGGGTGAAGGATGAGCCTTTCTGATTAGTTATGTCTCTAAAGAAAAGTTGTTGGAAGATAAAGAAACACTTCCTTCAAATAGAACAACATACTGTGATCACCTCTGTGCATTTCCACTCTCTAGAGTTATGATGTTTGAAACTAGAAGATGCTGATTAATTGCTTAAGTTCCTTGGCTCTATTTCTCTAAGTATTGTAATCTTGTTCATGATTACTGTTGCATTAACTAAGCAATAGATTGTTTGAAGTCCTGAAGTATATTTTATCACGAAGGTTAGGAACACTAAATATGATAATGTAATTAAAACTGATTGCAAACTATAAGAAAAATAGCAAAAAATAAATAATAGTTATATTTAATTTAATGAAAAATCATCAATGATGAGCAAAAGCAATAGTGAATATTGCTACATGTAATAAAGAAGGAAGAAGCAATAGAAGATAAATTTTATGGAAAGCACACTGGACATTTAGCTCCACACTCATAGCCAGGTTAGCATTCTTGTTCTGATGTCAGTGTATTTTTAGAGCCATGGCTGAGACAGGGAGCATGGAGCTGACTGATAGACCACTTCTATAATAGCGTTGCCCTTGGAAGGGATTTCTTGTCTTATTGACTCAAATATGTCTACTGGAAAATTGGGTTACCAGGAGTGCTTACCTCCTGAAGTTCTTGTGAGTACAAAATGAGTTATATAATCTCTCATGCAAAACATGGCCAATGTTTTTTTTTCATCAGTTTGGTTTATAATGTATATGGTATTCTGGGGACATGTTTATTGTACAAGAGAAACCAAAGGCATGAAATAACACTGTACTTTTAGGTGAGACAAAAATGAACCATTATTATTATTATTATTATTTGTTATTTGACTCCCATGACAGTCTATAACTGGATGATTATTGATTAATCTTTGTTGGATTGGGTCATCTGCTTCAGGGCCATTGTAGAATAACCTGCTTTGCAGTTACATACCATTCCAGTTCCCTCCATGCAAGAAGAAGCGAAAGGGTGGCAAACACCTACACTTGGCAAAGAAACCACAAAAACAAAACCTAAAGTAGTCACTGAAGCCTACTCTAAATGAAATAAATGTCTTAACCACTGCTAAACTCCACAGTGCAAATGATTGTTCTATATGTCTGCAGAACACCCATGAAACTCACTAAGTTTCTCAGGAGTAAAGACACGACTTGTTTAGAAAACCTCATTATTTACATTGGAGGTCAACACTCTATAAAGTTACAATTTAACACAAAAATGTGGGCGAAGCCAGTATCTCACGTTTTATAAATGAACTAACATGTAGAGAGTCCTCGTGCCCTTTTCTACAAGATCATAACGGAATTCAACCACCTTTCACTGTGCAGGCAGGGCTCTCTCTCGCATTTCCTTGGTGAAGGGCTAATTAAAAGTTGCTGAAATCTTAAACATGGCAATGTCACTACCGCTGTCTCTATCCAAAGAGCACACAAATAATTTACAAGAGCAGGTTTTGTATTCATTTTATTTCCCTTGATGGAAGAAAATCAGTCTCTGTGTTTTCCTGTTTATTTGCTTCTCATGTAGTCAAACACTCTCTCGTCTGGACCATTGTATGTCAGCTTCTGTGCCCATTCTCCACACCTTCACGCCAAGCATTCCAAACTCCCAATCTGGCCTTGTTTTTGCCCGACTAGAACACTTTCAGTTCACTATTATTCTCCAAACAGGGTCCCAAGTCCTAAACGTCACTTAGAAGCCTGCTATGTCTCTTCCCCTCTTCCCACGTTTTCTTGCCAGCTACCAGATCTCCCACTCTTTCATCGGAGCTTCACGGCTGACATTTATTCATTTAAAATAACTTTATTGACACTGGCAATACAAGTGCTTTCTCCCTTAGTCTAGCTAATTCATATTTACCTTTAACATATTTTCTTTCTTGCCCAAGTCCCATCGCTCGAGCTCACATATACACACAGGCAAACCCACATTTACTGCAGGCTGAGCTTTCCCTTGAATGTCAGCTTCATCTTTCTGTCCAAGGTCGCTGGAATTTCTGTGCTCATTGACGGTCTTTCAAAGTAGTTGTTCTTTTCCCGCCTGCCTTTAAGACCAACAGTGGTTCTTGGACGTATGGAAAATGAAATACATTTCCCATTGGGTTTTCTTTCCTGTGGACCAAGGGTGAAAACGAGTCCCCTGCTTTCTATTTAGCTCTACCCTACCCTCCATTGTATTCCGCAGTATAAAAACCTACCTAAGCCTTTGGGATATTTCTCCAAACCCCGTCTCTTGCAACAGATAGAGAAATGCCTAGAAAAATATAGTGCTATTATAGAAACGTTCTACTTTCTGAAGTATACCGGGTAGACTACATTACTATGTAGAAACTGTCCCGTGTTGGGGACCCTTCGTCTGCCTAGTTCTCTCTGTAAGTGAGGCAGAGAGTGTGCGGGGCTCTCACGCCTTTCTTCTGTGTTAGACAGGACTATGAGGAGCTAGAGAAGCAGCTCAAGGAGGTGTTTAAGGAGCGCAGCACAGTCCTGCGGGAGCTAACAAAGACATCGCGAGAACTGGATGGGATCAAAGTCAACCTTCAGGTGAGCTGGAAACTGATTTTGTCACCCACTGGACTGATATACATTTTTAAACAATTTTCTCTACATCTCTGGGCTTTATCACTCCTGTTAATATTTATTATTGTTTTAGTTTTGAAATAAAAAGTCTTTTGAAATGGTCTAGAGACCTGCAGTTTCCAAACAGCAAAAGCAGTAAACTGTGTACTTGGTAAAGCCATCAGCTTCTCCCAGCTTCCAGCATCAATTTGATGCCTGTGTTCTTGACATTACAAAGTGAGAGGAGGAATTAGACCGAGGGTCAGAGAATGTAGGAAGGATATTTAGGAGATAAATTTAGATTGTTTCCCAGGATAGTTCTAAAGATCCTTTAAGCAACTTCTTTATAGAAATGGATAAATGTTTACAAAGGAGACTATCATGTTTAAAACAAGAGAAAATAAAAGAAAGATACATTTCAGATAAACAAATCTTTCTAAAACATCTAGTAGTACTTCATTTTTCCTATGAAAGTACTTTTTAAATCTTAGTTAAAATAGAAACTTTTTTCAATACATTATGTTCTAATTATGATTTTTCCTCCCCTGACTCCTCCAGCTTCTCCCCACCTTCCCTCCCATTAGGATCTACCTCTTTTCTGCCTCTTGTGAGAAAATAAACAGCATCTAAGGCATAATAATATAATAGTATAAAACAACCAGGATAGGATAAAAACAAACAGAAGGAAAAGAGCCAAAGAAAAGCACAACAAACACATAAAGACACAGATACACCCATGTTCATCCCCATAGGAAACATAAAAGCAGAAGCCATAACATATACACAAAGGACTGTAAGGTAAAATGTTTTATGGGACACAATATTATGAGACAAAGAGTGACACGTTTTGATGTCTGAATTTGCACATTGCATTCACTGAGTACCTAGTGTGTACTAAATTCTTTAGGGGCACTGCACGGCTTAATTCTTTTGAATAAGTAGAGGAAATGGTACTTTGTGATTTTTTATGGTGCATAAGCAATATATTCTAAAGACAGTAGTTATGAAAGTCAGTAAAGACTCCAGAGTTTAAATGTAAGCTGTTTGCTCCAGAGACTTTTCACATACTGCAGAACTGAGGCTGTCTGTATGTTGTCTTGGGCCTCAAGGTCTGCATTATACAATGTTGCCCTGACGACACTCTGGGGAGGATGATGGTGTGATGGTCTTTGGGAGACTGCACCAGGTTGGAGCATGACCTTTGAGTTACCCAAAAGCTCCTATATCCCACCCAGCTCTCCCCCCCCCTCACCTTCTTGCACTCCCTACCTTGAGGTTGGACCCTGTTCCTGTTCCGTTAGTTTTCCCCCTTAATTAAGAAAAGCCTTAAAATACACCATTTTGGAGTCAGCTTGGGATTATTTGATTTGCGTTCTCCCCCTTGCCACAAACACCACCACCTTTTACCGTTCAGTGTTCAGCTTCTACGGTGGTGGTGCCACCACCACTAGAACATTGGTTTTGGTCCAGCTCACATGCTTGGTTATCTTTCCATAGCTCTTAGCTAATTTCCATATGAAAACCTTACTGTAGTTACTAATCTTCCTTTATAGCTGCAAATACAATGTTTAGAAAGAGCACACAGGTAAGCAATGAATGGGACCTGCATTTGGATTTACTGTTTGAGCTCTTGTGCAAGTTGTGCCATGCATTGAGAGAGTAAAGTGAACCCCCACCCTATAGGAGTGGGATGCATGTAGAAGGATTAAAAGGTGCATGAAGCATAGTTCTGCACATCCGGGCATCAGACTATGAATAGTGAAGAGGAAGATTCATGAGGCTACACATTGATCTGGTTTTATCAGGGAAAGCCTAGGCAGAGATTACTGAGAAGAACGTTAGCAGGTAAACAAGCCTGGGAGGAATATTCATGACATCTGCCTGTCCTCATGGGGATGGAACACCTGGCACAGGAGCATATCATCAGCAGATGGCGAAATGCCCTGGAGAGATCAGTAATTACTGTGTTCCCAAGACACTCTTGTTTCCTTAGTCAAGGTGTCTCCTTATACACCAGAATGTTGCTTAAGAAAAATGATCATGGAGCTGTGATTTTTAAAGGGGAAAATTGTCCCTGAAATTTTGTTACAAGTTTGAGAATAACTTTTTGTCTTGTGGCACATAATACATGAAATGTTTTTTTTTGTTGTTGTTTAATTTTAATAAATCCTCTTAGCAAATTTTCCACAAAATTACCATAGCATTACATTCATTATAAAGTGAAGAGTAGAGACTTAAGTAGCTCACTGTATGTGGGTAAGTCATTCACATAAAAAAAAAGTGAGATCAGATTTCAAACATAAAGTAAATACATATATAACTATGTGTTATGGGACTTTTCCTGACAAAATATGAACAAAATGGCCCCCCACAGGAACTATCCCACCTATGTTCAGCCTGGTGAACTGATGAGTTTACATGGAGTTTGTTAGGAGAGATGGGGGACATGAGTCTTGGGCCCCAAGCAGCTACCCCATCTCACTGACCTCCGGCAACCTCTTCTGGGATGTTGTGTTTCATTTCTTTGCTTCAAGACAGGCTCTAGTATTAACCCTGCCTTGAGCTTACTTTGTAGTCAATGATGGACATGCACATCTGGTCTTCATGCCTTTTCTTCCTTACATCAGGACTACACACGCCTCCTGCTATGCCCACTTCTTTATGTAGTACCAGACTGTGTCCTGGAGATCTCCACAATCTAGGCAATCATTCTATCTACTGTTGAGTTGCATTGAAAAACTTATCCTGTCTTTAATAAGGTGATATTATTAAGCCCAGTATGAGGTAAATCAGTTGGAAGTAATCAGTCACTCTAATTTCAAAATAATTGGCATGTTCTGCCCAGAGGACAGAGTTTCTCAATATATTCAATAGGTCTTCCTTATCTATTTAGTTTACTATTTTACTTAAAATGCTTTTTATTTAAAAACATTTCTCTCTTTTTTTTTAGTTTCTTCCTTATTTCTTAAAGGTTTCTTATTTCTTGATCTGTTTTCATTTCATGTGAACGAATGCTTTGCCTGCACGTACCTGTGTACCATGTGCATGCAGGTCACGCGGATTCCAGGAGGATGCTAGATCCCTTGTACCCAGGCCAGGAGGGTGCTAGACCCCTTGAACCTGGAGTTACAGACATGCAGTTCACATGCAGGCCAGGAGGGTGTTAGATCCCTTGAACCTCGAGTTATAGACATGCAATACACGTGCAGGCCAGGAGGGTGCTAGATCCCTTGAACCTGGAGTTACAGACATGCAGTTCACGTGCAAGCCAGGAGGGTGCTAGAACCCTTGTACCTGGAGATACAGACATACAGTTCACATGCAGGCCAGGAGGGTGCTAGATCCCTTAAACCCAGAGTTACAGACATGCAATAGACGTGCAGGCCAGGAGGGTGCTAGATCCCTTAAACCCGGAGATACAGACATGCAGTGTGGATTCCAGGAGAGTGTTAGATCCCTTGGACCCTGAGTTACAGACATGCAGTACACATGGATTCCAGGAGGGTGCTAGATCCCTTGAACCTGGAGTTACAAATAGTTGGGAGCCTCCATGTGGGTGCTTGGAACCAAACCCATTTTCATTCCTCTTTGTCTGTTAGGGGAAGCTATTTTTTCTAAACACACAGAGCACTACATACTGAATTCTTCCTACAAGGAGTCTCAGTTAACCCTTGTCCACCACTAGGTACAGTAAAGCTAACAGTGTATTATTCTCTGTTGAATACCAGGCTGAAACTATTCAGGCAGCACCGTGCTTTACAAGTCATAACTCAGGCTAGGTGTCTGTTAACTAAATATTAAGGAACAATACACTCACCTCTAAACTGCCGTCATCCCTCTACCTTCACAGCTACTCTGTAGAAACGGTTATTGCTATTTAAACTTTTAATATCCAGTATAAAGGTTACTCTATTGAACAGTTTACTGAGTATAAATAAGGATGTTATTAGGAAAGGTTTTATATGACAGATCCTCTGAGAAGAAGAACTTGTGGGGGAGCTTCTCTCTTCTAACTGATGGCTTCTGAATCCTGAATTTGCAAGTATATAAGTACTAATGACTAGAGTGGCATATGTTATTTTCTTAGTACCTGTGTATCGTGACAAGGGATAAAATTACCTGGCCTTCTGTCTTTTTGTATCCTAACACCTTACTTAGAATAAGACACAGACATGAACAAAGAAGCACCTGCCTTTGACTGCTTTCAACTCCCATCAGGTTATTCCCTGAACTGTGCAGGGAAGCTTTCTATGAACCCTTCCATTTGCTGGAACTACACAAGAGCTAATTCAAAATAAGTCCCGTGGACACACTTTAAAGGAATGGGAGAAGGTATTTTTTTTTAATTTATTTGTGAAGAGACTTGTTGAAAGGAGAGAGGGCCTGCTAGCTTATACCTGAAATAATCACACAGAAACTGTCTTCATTTAAATCACTGCCTGGCCCATTATCTCTAGTCTCTTACTGGCTAACTCTCACATCTTGATGTACCCCATCTCTAATAATCTGTAATCATCATGAGGTCACGGCTTACTGGAAAAGATTTAGTATGTCTGACCTGGCGTCTCCATGGGGCTCTCTCACCCTGCTTACTTCCTCCCAGAATTTAGTTCTGTCTTCTCTACCTACCTAAGTTCTGCCCTATTAGGCCAAGGAGTTCCTTTATTAATTAACCAACGAAAGCAACACACAAACAGAAGGACCTCCTACACCATTTCCCCTTTTCTGTTTAAACAAAAAGGAAGGCTTTAACTTTAACATAGTAAAATTATATATAACAAATCAGAGACTGAGAAGCACATGAGATAACTCAGTGGGTGAAGGTGCTCTCCAGGTGAGTCCAGTGGCTGGAGTTTCATGCTCGGGACACATGTAAATCTAAAATAGAAAAATTAACTCCTCAAAGCTGTTCTCTGACATGCATATCTGCCTGATGATGTGTTTAACAACACATATATAACATGCACACACATGCATACATATACACACCCCAAAATAAAAATATTTAATATTTACTTGAAAGAAAATGAGGTATTTGCAGGTTGTTTGTCTCCAACATCTGAATGGTGAGCTTCTGCTCAAAACTGTTCTTGTATTAAGAGTTTAATATGTCCAACTGTGCATCGTGAACTGCTGTGTGTGTCCTTGGCACCATCAGTAGCTAGGAGGACTAATTTTTATATCTTTGTTCAATAAACTAAGTGCCTTAAAACCTGGCACTAAATATAGACAATAAAGTGAATAGCAGGGTTTTATCTAAGACTCCTTTCCCGCATTTCTCTTTCAGTCTTTGAAAAATGATGAGCAATCTTCCAAAACGGATGTTCAGAAGCTTCTGGAGTTAGGCCAGAAGCAAAGGTAAGATGGAGTTCTATATTCCTTTCTAAACTTCCTTTTCTTTTAGTTTAAGACTTCCTCCTCTCTCCTATTTTTGCAATACTATTAAAGCTTAGCCAGGGAGTTTATCAAAATCCATGTACCGTAATGTGTGAACTTATCTTCTTGTGGACACTTGGGTGTATATGAAATTTATCCAGGGCTTTGTGGATGGGATGTGAGAGTCTGCATTTCAGGCAATAACTTGGTAAAGGTTAGTTATGCTCAAAGCAATTAAAAGAATTGCTAAGACCTATATCCTTTGGGTTTGAATATTTTTTAAAATGATCAAATTCAAAGTCCACATCATTCCATGTGGTCTGTTTGGTCAACAGACAAACTGCTGTTAAAAAATATTACACATCTCAAGTAACAGAATGATGTGTTTCTTTTTTTTTTTTATTGAGAAAAGGAAAAAAAAAACAAGTTTCTGCCTCCTCCCAGCCTCCCATTTCCCTCCCCCTCCTCCCAGCCTTCTCCCCCTCCTCCCACCCTTTTCCCCCTTCCCCCACTCCTCTCCCCCTCCCTCTCCAGTCCAAAGAGCAGTCAGGGTTCCCTGCCCTGTGGTAAGTCCTAGGTCCTCCCCCTCCGTCCATATCTAGGAAGGTGAACATGCAAACTGGCTAGGCTCCCACAAAGCCAGCACATTAAGTAGGATCAAAACCCCATGCCATTGTCCTTGGCTTCTCATCAGCCCTCATTGTTCACCATGTTCAGAGAGTCGGTATTATCCCATGCTTTTTCGGACACAGTCCAGCTGTCCTTGGTGAGCTCCCAATAGATCAGCTCCACTGTCACAGTGGGTGGGTGCACCCCTCGTGGTCCCAACTTCTTTGCTCATGTTCTCCCTCCTTCTTCTCCTCATTGGGACCTAGGGAACTCAGTCCAGTTCCCCCCATCCTCCCCTTCTCCCTTTTCTCTCCCCATCTCCCCTTACCCCCATCCCACCCCACCTCCAAGATCCCAATTTTCTCCCCTGCAATTTTGTCTACTTCCCATAGCCAAGAGGATAACTATATGTTTTTCGTTGGGTTCACCTTCTTACTTAGCTTCTTTAGGTTCACCAATTGTACACTACGTGACCCTTATTTATGGCTAGAAACCAATTATGAGTGAGTACATCCCATGTCCATCTTTTTGGGTCTGGGTTAGCTCACTCAGGATAGTGTTTTCTATTTCCATCCATTTGCATGCAAAATTGTTTTTTACTGCAGCGTAGTACTCTAATGTGTATATATTCCACACTTTCTTCATCCATTCTTCCATTGAAGGGCATCTAGGCTGTTTCCAGGTTCTGGCTATTACAAAGAATACTGCTATGAACATAGTTGAACAAATGCTCTTGTCATATGATAGGGCATCTCTTGGGTATATTCCCAGGAGTGGTATTGCTGGGTCCAGGGGTAGGTTGATCCCGAATTTCCTGAGAAACCGAAACACCGATTTCCAAAGTGGTTGCACAAGATTGCATTCCCACCAGCAATGGATGAGTGTACACCTTCCTCCACAGCCTCTCCTATCATTGGAGTTTTTTATTTTAGCCATTCTGACAGGTGTAAGATGATATCTCAAAGTTGTTTTGATTTGCATTTCCCTGATTGCTAAGGAGGTTGAGAATGACCTTAAGTGTCTTTTGGCCATTTGAACTTCTTCTGTTGAGAATTCTCTGTTCAGTTCAGTGCCCCATTTTTTAATTGGGTTAATTAGCATTTTAAAGTCTAGTTTCCTGAGTTCTCTATATATTTTGGAGATCAGACCTTTGTCTGTTGCGGGGTTGGTGAAGATCTTCCCCAGTCGGTAGGTTGCCTTTTTTTGTCTTAGTGACAGTGTATTTTACTTTACAGAAGGTTCTCACTTTTAGTAGGTCCCATTTATTCAATGTTGCCCTTAATGTCTGTGCTGCTGGGGTTACACATAGGAAGAGATCTCCTGTGCCCATTTTTGTTGTAGGGTACTTCCTACTTTCTCTTCTATCAGGTTCAATGTGTTCTGACTGATATTGAGGTCTTTAATCCCTTTGGACTAGAGTTGTGCATGGTGATAGATATGGATCTATTTTCATTCTTCTACAGGTTGACATCCAGTTATGCCAGGACCATTTGTTGAAGATGCTTTCTTTCTTCCATTGTATACTTTTAGCTCCTTTATCAAAAATGAGGTGTTCATAGGTTTGTGGGATAAAATCCGGGTCTTCTATACGATTCCATTGATTGACTTCTCTGTTTTTATGCCAGTACCACACTGTTTTCTTCACTGTAGCTCTGTAATAGAGTTTGAAGTCAGGGATGGTAATGCCTCCAGAAGATCCTTTATTGTATAGGATTGTTTTGGCTATCATGGGTTTTTTGTTTTTCCATATAAAGTTGATTATTGTCCTCTCAAGACTCTGTGAAGAATTTTGATGGGACCTTGATAGGGATTGCACTGAATCTATAAATTGCCTTTGGTAGAATTGCCATTTTTACTATGTTGATCCTCCCAATCCAAGAGCAAGGGAGGTCCTTCCATTTTCTGGTATCCTCTTCAATTTCTTCCTTCAAAGATTTAAAGTTCTTGTCAAATAGATCCTTCACTTCCTTGGTTAGAGTTACCCCAAGATATTTTATGCTGTTTGTGGCGATCGTGAAAGGTGAAACTTCTCTGATTTCCCTCTCTGCTTCCATATCCTTTGTGTATAAGAGGGCGACTGATTTTTTGGAGTTGATCTTGTATCCTGCCACATTACTAAAGGTGTTTATCAGCTGTAAAAGTTCTTTAGTGGAGTTTTGGGGGTCTCTTATGTAGACTATCATATCATCTGCAAATAACGAAAGTTTCACTTCTTCCTTTCCAATTCAAATCCCCTTGATCCCCTTATGTTGTCTTATTGCTATTGCTAGAACTTCAAGCACTATATTGAAGAGGTATGGCGAGAGTGGACAGCCTTGTCGTGTTAATGAGTTTGGTGGGATGGCTTTGAGTTTCTCTCTGTTTAATTTGATGTTAGTTGTCGGCTTGCTGTATATAGCTTTTATTATATTTAGGTATGACAGTTATATCCCTAATCTCTCCAATACTTTTATCATAAATGGATGTTGAATTTTGTCAAATGCTTTTTCAGCATCCAATGAAAGGATCATATGGTTTTTTTCTTTCAGTTTATTTATATGATGGATTACATTGATAGATTTTCGTATGTTGAACCAGCCCTGCATCTCTGGGATGAAGCCTACTTGATCATAATGGATAATTTTTCTAATGTGTTCTTGGATTCGGTTTGCCAGTATTTTGTTGAGGATTTTTGCGTCGATGTTCATGAGTGAGACTGGCCTATAATTCTCTTTCTTGGTTGAGTCTTTGTCTGGTTTTGGTATCAGAGTAACTGTAGCTTCATAAAAGGAATTTGGCAATGATTCTTCTGTTTCTATATTGTGAAATACATTAAGGAGTATAGGTATTAGGTCTTCTTGGAAGTTCTGGTAGAATTCCGCATTGAAATAATCTGGTCCTGGGCTTTTTTTGGTAGTGAGGTTTTTGATAACCGCTTCTAATTCTTTGCGACTAACAGGTCTATTTTGATTGTTCACCTGGTCCTGGTTTAACTTTGGTATATGGTATTTATCTAAAAAGTGTCCATTTCCTTTCCATTTTCCAGTTTTGTGGCATACAGGCTTTTGTAGTAAGATCTAATGATTCTCTGAATTTCCTCTGTGTCTGTGGTTATGTCCCCCTTTTCATTTCTGATCTTATTAATTTGCAAATTCTCTCTCTGCTGTTTGACTAGTTTGGATAGGGGTTTGTCAATCTTGTTGATTTTCTCCAGGAACCAGCTCTTTGTTTCATTGATTCTTTGGATTGTTTTCTGTGTTTCTATCTTGTTGATTGCAGCCCTCAGTTTGATTATTTCCAGTCTTCTACTCCTCCTAGGTGAGTCTGCATCTTTTTTTTTCTAGAGCTTTCAGGTGGGCTGTTAAGTCTCCAATGTGAGCTTTCTCTGTTTTCTTTAACTGGGCACTTAGTGCTATGAACTTTCCTTTTAGGACTGCTTTCATAGTGTCCCATAAGTTTGAGTATGTTGTTTCTTAATTTTCATTGAATTCCCGGAAGACTTTAATTTCTTTCTTTATTTCTTCCTTAATCCAGGTATGGTTCAGTAGTTGACTGTTCAGTTTCCATGAATTTGTAGGCTTTCTGGGGGTAGCATTGTTGTTGAATTCTAACTTTAATCCATGGTGATCTGATAAGACACAGGTGGTTACTAATATTTTTTTGTAAGTGTGGATGTTTGCTTTGTTACTGACTATGTGGTCAACTTTTGAGAAGGTTCCTTGAGCTACAGAGAAGAAGGTATATTCTTTCCTATTTGGGTGAAATTTTCAATAGATGTCTATTAAGTCCATTTGCTTCATTACCTCCATGAATTCTCTTATTTCTCTGTTAGTTTTCTGTCTGATTGACCAGTCCATTGGTGAGAGAGGAGTGTTGAAGTTTCCTACTATTAGTGTGTGCAGTTTGATGGCTGCCTTGAGTTTTAGCAATGTTTTTTTTTTGTACGTGGGTGCTTTTATATTAGGGGCATAGATGTTCAGGATTGTGACTTCATCCTGATGAACTGTTCCTGTTATGAGTATAAAATGCCCCTCTCCATCTCTTCTGATTGATTTAAGTTTGAAGTCAAGTTTGTTAGAAATTAGTCTGGCCACACCTGCTTGTTTCTTAGGTCCATTTGCTTGATAAGCCTTTTCCCAGCCTTTTACTCTAAGTAGGTGCCTGTCTTTGTGGTTGAGGTGTGTTTCTTGTAAACAGCAGAATGTTGGATCCTATTTTCTTATCCAATCTCTTAGCCTGTGCCTTTTTATAGGTGAGTTGAGTCCATTGACATTAAGTGATATTAATGACCAGTGGTTGTTAACTCCTGTCACTTTTTTAGTAGTAGAGTTTGTGGTTTCCTTTCTTTGAGTTGTGCTGGTGAAGGGTCTCTAGATGTTTGAGTTATGGTGGTC